TGAATCTCATTCTTAAGTTTTATGATGCAGAAAAGCACCAAAGAGTTTCCTGCAAATATACATACTAGGTAGTAAGTGCAGACAATTGCAGCATTCTCTCACCCACCTCTGGTTTCTGCTTTTAATTACACACTTTCTGCTGCACTGAATTCTGTGAGTGCCATGGCAATCCTCTTTCCAAAGCCCTTTGGCCCTTTAAGGTCTGCAATGTTCAGGAAGCAGAACACGCATCAGCCATGAGAATCCTAACCCTGCGTGAGGGATGAGAGCACAGGACTGACATCTACTTCAAGAGCTAAAAGCAAAGAAGTGCCCTGCCAGGCAAGGCAAAGAAAGACAGGTTTCAATGTCAGCCAAAAGTTCTGAAGCCAATCCCAGGACAATGAATGATATCCTGTCCCTATAGGAGAGAATCTCCGTTCGCAGAGAGAAAAGGAAGAGGCCATCCACCTCAACACGTAGGCCTATAGAGCAGCAAATATTTTTCCGAAGGAAAGCACTGGGTCTAATGAACCCTGTAAGTAACTGCCCATAACATGCTCATCAGCCACACAGTGCTTCTGGTCTAGGATGGAGATCGCTTCTAGCGAACGTAAACCCACTTGCTTTGGGTTAGAAACAGAACTGACATGAAAGACAGGCTTAGGCTGCAAAGTACGCCCTGTCAAACTCTGCCTTGTTCCCCAGCTGCAACGAGATGTGCCCTAAAGGGAATTCTATCAGCTTTCCTAGCTCCAGAACATTTAATGGTACAATTCAGACAACATGGAATGAAATACATTCAAATGAGCATACAAAGTTTAGACAACATGACACAGCAGCTTTCACAAGGGACTGCTTGGCCAGACCACTAGTGTTGAGGAACACTCACAGAAGTGCTCAGGAACAGCAGAGGGCTGTGGCCTGGGCTCGCTGAACAATATCCCTCTCCCTGCCCCCAGAATACTCCTGCGTGCCTTTACTGCTCTGAAACATGGTAAATAGGCTACTAGACCTGAGTGAGTGGCAAGAACTTCTGGTAATAGCTCTTTGTAACGTCAATCATGAGTTCCTGGGTACATTCCGGGAGTTCCCCAGAGAAGAGTCCTGGAAGAAGAATAAAGAGTATGACCATCAGCGTTCTTGCAGGAGAAAGCAGAAATAAGCTTATATTCAACATTCAAAGCAGTGACTTGGTTTAAATTGTAAGTAAATACCAACAGAACAGCAAAGGGCTCTTCTCTCATGTCAAGCAATACCGTAGGATCGTACCCCCTGGGACACATGTCAGACAGACTGCTTCATCTGGGTCCCATCACAGCTTCCACTGTTCTCCATAAAACACTACCAGAAGATAAATGACCAAGTGTGCAATTTGTACATTGAGATCTCCGGCACAGCCAGGTCGATGGGCAGGAACTAAACATTTATGTACCTCAGCTTAATGTACCTACCTCCCTATTAACATATGAATAACAACCAAGTGGACTTCCTACAGTTTGAACCACTGAAATACCTGCAAAACCAGAAACCACAAAAGGATGAGTGCTGCCTCTGGCAGAACCTAATGCCTGCTGGGTTCTAGATGCCTGAAAAGCTGTGTTGCTTACTGTATAGGATGGGCAGAGCTGGCATCCTAGTAATACGTTCTGAGTAAACCCATACTACCTACCTAACATACACTAACACACCGAGTTTCACAAGTTAAAATTGTTACTTTTGAGTTCACCAAGTGCACTACACCTTTACTTCTAGGCACTAAACGCTAATAGGCAACTTTGTCATAGCAATCTCATTTTAAAATAAGAATATCCACATTATCCACAATTCTGTGCAATTAAAGTTAGAGGGAGCATACCTGGGCAGCCTGAGAAGACTGTGAAAGGTGGGACTACTGTTTCAGGAGGTAGTACTGTGTTGTCTAAGATTTTGCAGCAGTCTTTCAAAACGCATCTGCGACCCTAAAACAAAGATTAGGTAAAGTTTATACTTAAAATACTGTATGCTTTTGTTTATTCCCGACAAGTTACCTAAACTTCAACAAATTTAACTGCTCAAAACACATTTTGTATAAGGGATCATGGGACCAAATACTCTTCTCCCCACCCAAAAAAATCACTTTTTCTTTTTTTTTTTTGAGGGGAAAAAAGTCTGTTTGCTCTCAACTAACACATGTAAGGGCAGTTGCATATTAACACATGTCAATGCGCAAACTGGAATCTACAACCCAAATCATGCAGTAACATAGCAAGGCCTTCTGTAACTCAGCAGACAGCAGCCTTGACTGTTTTGCATTATCTGCGTAGAAACACAATTCCACTTGTTCCTCATGGAAAGGCTGTCTTTCCTGGACAGTCCCCATGAGCCACAATGGGGATGGATTTTCCAAACATTGGTCAGCTGAACCTGCTATCCTCAGAACAGCAAAACTATAAGCATCACTTTCTGTGGAGTAGGAAAAGGAGGAGAAAGGAACAGCACAGAGTAAGTATGCTTGCTCCAGCCATTTGGTGCACATACCTTTCCACTGTTGTTACAAAGTCTCAACAGTACTCAAGAGTCTAAAGAAAAGACTGAGAAACGGCACTCACAATGACACAGTTCTTGCCTATGTGGACATAGGAGCCAATCTGGGCTGCGTTGACAACACAGTCCTCTTCTATGAAGACATGATCGCCAATGTGGAGAGGGAAAAAAGCCACCCTATGACAGGAGAGTTGTTCGTTCAGTTGTACAATATACAGACCGATCCGCAACACTTGGACCCAAAATCACACTGTGGAGCCTCCTCTCCAGCTGCATTACCAGAGGTAAATCTGATACTAAGGAAGATTAAACAGCAACTGATCTTTTCTCATCTCCTTCTAAAGGACGGCCCAAATGAGCAACAGGAAGATGTTGTGAATAAACAAAGAACAAGTGAAAAACATTCTTCACTTCTCCATTTTAATATATTCCAGCCTTTCCATACTGTGGTCTGAAGGGACCACCAACCCCCATGGCAAAGCTGAAAGTTTGAGGAAAAGGCAGATTTACAAGGACACATTTCCGCAAATTGCTGCAAAAGGACCATAACCCTCTGAATACAGATCTCAGCCAAGCCGATGTGGTTTTTTAGGTTTGTAACTTCAGATTTTATATTTTTAGAGTTTAACTTCTGTCTCCCTAAAAGAAGAGGACCTCTTACCCTTTACTAAACTTCTTGAAGGGTGGTCTAATGACACTGCGGCTTTTCACAACACAGTGTCGTCCAACCCGTACATTTGCCAGGTCACCACGGATGATGCAGTCATTCATAACTATGGTCTGGAGAAGAAAAGAGAGATAAATGAGCTCCAATTTCTACCTATGTTACCAGTTATTATACAGCCTCATGCAGAGGTCAGGCCACTCCAGCAAGATTACATTACCTTACAGAGGATTCTTTTAGTCAAAAGAAAAGTGAGAACAAAGCAAGTGACACAGGAGCCTGGAACCACCAGTTGTGCTCCCACCATGTCAGTGAGCTGCACAAAGCGAGCCAATACACAAAGTGAGGCTTAAACACAAACAGAAACATGCTGTCGCACGGATAAAAGCCACCCGATCTGCTCACATGCAGAAGGAGCTCTTTTTGTACTCTCAGAGAGCAAAGCTCCGGTACCACGGGGCCCATAGCAGTTGTCATAGGTGGTGACAAGGACCCCGCGGCCTGGTCACGCTCCCCTCCCACCCAGCCGAGCTGCTGGGCGGAACGAGGCACCGGGGGGATAGCGCAGCCCCTTCCCCGCCGCCTACCTTGCCGTTGAGAACGATGTTCTGGCTGCCGCATAGCA